AGATTGAACCCTGGCTTAGACCAGATCAGAATCAGAATGGAGCCAGAATGACCAGATGGAGCCAGAATGGACAGAATGAGCCAGAATGGACCAGCCCGCCCCCTAGCGTTTGAACCAAATCCGGAACCAGAATTCATTGAAGCAGAATTGAACGTCGAAACAACTTCAAATCGACCGAAGGGTTCGATCATTAGTTATTCTTGCTCTCCACATGTTTGGAAGGGTTTGGAGACTTTTTGCACCGACATTACTGCCTTATTTGGCTCATTATTGGCCGATTCGCTTATTATCGGGACCGGTTCAACTCATTTGGAATACGGGAAATACTCCAATTAAGGTATACGAGTTTAAACTATTCCCTTCCTCTTTGTTGAGAAGTTTCTGGAGGAATATTTTTTCTAAAATATTCTTAAGGATAACTTAACTAACTCCAGGTAGTGTATGAGTATAACTAGACCTCCCCGCTCCAACTCCTTAGAGCTTAACTGTTGTAGACTCCAAAAATCTTTACGAGTATAAACTGTGTTAAACGCCAGACAAGCGGTCACAATTTAAAGATTCAAAAAGCCGCTCAACCGATGGTCAATTTCATGTTGGAAGCAACCAACACGAGGGTTAAAGATTTGAAAAAATCAGGAATACGATTCAAATGTTTTCCAAATTCCAACAACGGTCAGACAATAAATGGCAGCACGGAACCCCTTACAGCATTCTACAAAGCATGAATGGGCCCGAAGGATGAAGGTAATACAGAACAAAAGTCATGTCCAGGGTTCCCGTGTCACCGACAAAGGTAGGGCCAATCAATCCAAAGCATTCCGACTCTTCTATAAAAGAACAGGACTGAAAAGCTTTGGAGGGGGATCTGTAGGCGTATAAAACTGCTTATAGGTTCCCTTGACACAGTCGGCGCGTGAATGATTCGACAAATCGACGAAAAAAAACGTTTTTCAAGCAACGAAACGAACTTAAAGAGCTACAAAAGCTAACGAACTGCATGTTGAACAACGTTAGTGGTTCGGGGAAGTCGACGGGTCTTCAACAAAATTGGATTTGAACTCAAACACCGACTGAGTTTACTGGCCAAATCGGAAGTCAAGTCAAACAAATCACAAAACAACCGAACAACGGAACAACAACGAAACAACGGGAAAAAAAAAAAAAAACAAAAAAAAAAAAAAAAAAAAAAAAAATAAACAAAAATAAAACAAAAAAAAAAAAAAACAAGACAAAACCAGCGCACACTAGGGGAAATCGGGCCGAAACCGAAACCACCCAATAACGGATGGCTCGCCCAAGCCGAGACCACCCTAAGGGTGATCGTGGCGAAGCCACCACCCCAGGTGCTGCAAAGGCCGAGCCACCCATAGGGTGGCTCGGCACAAAGGCCGAGCCACCTCAGGTCGGCTCGGCCAAGGCGAAAGCCACCCTGAGGTGGCATCAGGCCATAGCCGAGCCACCCCTAGGTAGCATCGCTATGGGCCGAGCACCTAGGTGGCTAGGCTACAGAACTGTGCAAACGACACAGTTCTGAGACGCCTGATAAATTAGGCCTGTACCTCTTCATATTGAGGGACTTCTTTGAACTTTGAGAGAGCCGAAACATCTGCCGGCATTGTCACTACAACTCGGGAGATCACTGAAAGGCTTGAAGACTTGGAGGACCCGAGAGAGGTGAGGGAGGAGGGAAAGAATTTTAGATCCTTAAAGCGAGCACCCGCACCGAAAAAAGGCAGGGGTTCGAGAGAGCTAATCATCAGATCTACGTACGCACACTACCGTATCTAAGCTTAAGGTTCTTAGGATCCCGAGATTCGACGCGAGGTCGTGTTCCTTGGTTGAACGATCCCCTCCCGGCTATATATCAGTCCTTTGGTT